CTATCTCCACTGACCAAAGGGACCTGTGTAGAATAAATTCTTCAAATTTGTTTCTTGAAAGTACTTATATCTTAGAAAAACAAAAAAGAATTGCATTATACCTAGAGGACATCATTTTAAACAGTGATGGAAACATATATTAAGAAAGAACGTCTTGAAATATTGAGAGAATGTTAGTATTTACTTAGACTAAAAATTCATCAGTGATCTCTCTCCAGACCCCATGATGAGAGAAAATACTATGAGAAAAGTATTTATTAAAAAGAAGATTTAAGAAAAAATTTTAAAGAGCCACATGTAAGATGGAGAGATGAAATTTGGATAAAATAATGAAATTCCCCTTAATTAATCTCAGTTCTAGCAGCTCTTTGTATCACCTGAGCTGAGTGATGGGAGACTGGCCTGTTCAAGATGCAGTGGAAAATACAGTTGTAGATAGACTGAACAAAATTTCACATTTGTACTATATAAGCTGTCATGGGTTGCTCTCTGCTACTAAAAAGTCTAAGCATTCAAAGAGACATACAGTCTGTTCTCCAATTCTCCTTTTCCAAATAGGTACAGTATCATATCCTGACCCCCCAAAAATGACCTTTATAAATTTGCCACTTAACAAAATAAAACTCTTCAAGTGATCAATAGGATTTGCCATCCAAAACAGATGGTGACTGCTGATAAAATTTTGAAGGCCTTCTCTGAAACTGTGGATCACAGATTAATTCATTGTCCTCTAAGAGCTGGTTTAGGCCTTAATACACATGAAGACTGGAAGATTATTTCCTAGTTCCTATTCATGTCACTCCTGCAACATGCATATTTCCTTAGAAACTCCTTAAATCCAGCCAGCTGAAAACATGGTGCCAAGGGTTTCTCCAGAGCATCAGAGCCACTGCAAAGAAATATAGAACTCAAAGAAAAAGTGACATGGCCTGACTTCCTATGAATTGTTTTTCATTAAAAAATATATAATGTAGAAGTAAATAGTACTAATAAGGAGCAGAAATAACACAGAGTGAAGAGGGTAGCAAGTAAGAAAGCTGAATGAAGACACTCACAGAAAAAAAATATTTAAACTCTTAACAGATTTAATTATCTGGCTGATTTCCATAATATGGGAAATCTTGCTAGATTAATTGAGAAACTAAAAGTTAATTATAAAACACCCAAAAATGCTACTTCTGGGAACCCCACTGATTCATTTTTAACAGTGAATTTTATCACAGGTTACTGTGATCATAGCAAAATGTTTTATTAAAATGTTTTAAAAATGGACCAGCATCCACTGTCGCAACAGTAGGAGTTGCGAGCCAAGCAGGATATTGAGTCCTTCCAAGAAGCTTGAACCATGGAATACAGGAGCCAACAGCAAACACCCCTGAAACTCACAGACTCTTTGGCAGCACAACAATGAAGCTTCTTAAGAGTAATCAGAGCCCCCAACACTCCCACAGCTCCTTTGGCACCAAATAAACCTTGCTTGAGAAGGAAATTTATAGAGGCAGACATAGAATTTTATGAGGCCTGAGTAACATATTTATTTCAGCACATTTTGGTCATAAAATTATCATTGAGCTGAATGTTCTGGCAAGTAAACACAGTTCAGTCTTTTTTGCCTCAAAAGGAGGCTTACTTTGGGTTGTAGTACTCAGATCCAGGCTGTGCTTGTTATTAGGAATTTTAGTACCAGTCACTTCTATATAGTCCTAGGGCAAATGCCACTGGGACAGTGAAAGGTGACTGCTGAGGTTTCTGCTACCTAGCAGCATTGATGCACTGGCTGCTGAAATGTAAAAACACTTTCTGGGAACAATTTAGTCAAGCGTCATATAGCAGAGATGAGTAGTATAATAGCTGTGGGTTCCCTGCATTGCATTTTTTTAAGTGCTTAACTTATGGGTGTTTTCTTTTTCCCCAAGAAGGAGAAACTTAACCTTTTTTTACCTCCTGATTTTAAAGTAAAATAATAAAATGAAAATATAATATAATATAGTAATTTGCATCACTTGAGCCCAGACAAACAGACAGTGGTGTTAGTTTGACAGAAACATACTAGATGTTAGGAGAAAATAAATCAACCAGTGAATTTAAAAGTGATCTTTCCCCCCAATCAAAATCACAAAACAATCTTCACATCAAAGTCGGGTTCTTTCACCAATTCCAATAAAGAGATTTTAAATCCTACATTTTATTTTTTATTTTAAAGAGCAATAACAAATCATCTGTCAAAATGTTAGGAGACTCCAAATTGCCAAAACAAGCTTGAAAAGAAAGGCAGAATTGGAGTTCTCACACTTCGTGATTACAGAATGCACTACAAAGCTATAAAATACAGTACTAGCATAAAGATACGGAGAAGGCAATGGCAACCCACTCCAGTACTCTTGCCTGGAAAATCCCA